TCCACCTCTCAGCTTTCTCTGCTCCACCGAAAACAGACCCAACTCTTCCAATCTCTGCTCATAATTAAAGCCCCTTGTGCCTGCGGTCACGCTGATAAACCTCCACTAACTCCCTCCAACGTGTTGACACTTTTCCTGAAGTGAACACAGTCTCCAGGTGCAGCCTCACCAATGATTGTACAAACTGACCATTATTGTTTTGCTTTTGTGATCTGCGACTCCATGTATAAAACCCGAATAACATTAGCTTTTTCACAGCCCTGTCCACTTGCCCTGCCAATTTCAAGGACTTATGTTCCCACACTCCTAAGTCCCTTTGCTCCATGTAAGACACTGCCATTCAATATATACTCCCGACCCACGTTTTTTGCTGCTAAAATGAATCACTTCATATTTTGCTTTGTTAAACTTCATCTGCGTCTGCTCAGTCCATTGCCGTAATCTATTTAGGTCTCACGATCCTTCTCACTATTCACTCTACCTCCCACCTTACTATCATTAGCCAACTTGCCAACTTTGATATCATGCCCTTGTACAGTGCTGGATTAACCATAAACCAGGTAAACATGGCTTAGGACCCCAAAGTCTGCGGGGTCCAGGATATGATTGATGCCCTTACCTCCCAGCTGAGCCTACCTGTCAATCACAACGCATGCTGCCTTATGTTTTGTACAATATGGTGAGTGATAACACAAGCGGCTAGAGCTGGAGATGTGAGTCAGCTCCAGGAGGTCAGGTGAGGTAAGAGACAGTGTGGAGAGCAGGATCCATATCTAACAGTTATAGAGCTTATCTTAGAAGCACTGTAAAAGGATTGTGATACAGACTGTGCTCTTTCAGGATTTCATATCACAAATTGAGTGTGAGAAAACTCTGGGAGAAATGTATATGAAACAGAATCACTTGGTGGAATCAACATTTACAAATGGCGCAGTTGCTCTTCGTATGTTCTTAACACGATCAGTAACAGTGTGTGAAGGTGAACGATCTTTCTCCAAGATGAGTCTCAGGTAAAAACTCACTCAGATCTAACAATGATCCAGGGTGTAATAATAATAATCCTTGCATTTGATATAGCGCTTTTCATGTCTTCTTGATGTCTCAAAGCGCTTCACAGAATAGACTGTAAAGTGAATTGACTATATTTGTGGGTGAAATTCAGCAGCCAACTGCGCACAGCAGCATCCCACAAACGGTCATGGATTGAAGTGACCAATTTATTATTGTTTTTTTTTCTTGAGGGTTTATTATCAGGCGTGTCGAGTAAGGAAACTTGCCCAAGGTTTCACCCTGCCGGGATAGAGTGAATGCACTCACAATCCTGTCCATGTGGCATAATATGATGCCCACACTAGGTTTCAGCGAGTGTCAGACACCCGGTTGATCATGGTGATGGGTTTTGGCATGAGTCAGACAGCCAGCTAATCAAACGCTCTGGGAGGGGAGCTATATAAATGCAAGTTGTTGTCGTTGTTTTGATCATCTCATCGAGTTGACATGTTTGCAACTATGAGGCTACGCAAGAAAGTATTTTAAAAAGGTATTAATGTTGTGTGCATAGTTCAAAGGGCCCCAAAAGTGATGTGGTTTAGGACACCCTGATATGGTTCTATATCTAAGTCAAGGTCATTTATATGGAAAAAAGGTGAGGCCCCAGCACAGGCCTCTGTGACATGTCAATAGTCACCTTATCTCAACTGGAAAAACATCCTTTTTAGTCCTAATCTCTTTCCTACACTTCAACCAATGCAGTCCTGTAGCACTTGCCTCGTAAACAAGAGACCTTGGTTCGGCGGTTAAACCGAGGTTATATCTTGTTTGGCTGAAGGGACACTGAGGAGCATGTGGTGAGCTTCCAGATTTCTTCAGCTATCCCAGACACTGTATCTCCCCCTTCAACAAACCCACCAAAAAGCAGATTGTTGGGTGGGGCTGATTAACTGCATTGTTTGCCTATAACAGTTATTATACTTCACAGTAACTCGCTGTGTGAAAAGCCGACGCAATTCTAATCTTATTTCTGAAAGTTTTGTGTCACCCAGAGTCACCACCCTGGTCGAATAGGAAGGTCTTTAGGCATAACCTAAAGTTGAGGAAGACAACAACAACAAGATTCCATTTATAGAGCGCCTTTCATGTCAGGAGGACGTCCCAAGGCGCTGGACAGTTGGGTCAGGACCCGAGCATTGGGGGGAAATGGTCAGGGTGAGGGGAGGGAAGGGAGGGAGCGAGGAGGGGGTAGAGAGTCGAGAGGGGAGCTGAAGGCACGGTCAAAGAGAAAGGTCTTGAGACCGGCCTTGAAGGAGGAAAGGGTGGAAGCGGCGAAGGCACTGGGGGATAGAGTTCCAAAGCCTAGGGGCTGAGAGGCTGAAGGCCCGGCCACCGATGGGAGGGCGGTTGGGGCGGGGGATGTGGAGCAGACCGGAGCCAGAGGAACGGAGGGTACGGGCAGGTAGGTAGGGGGATAGTAGGTCAGAGAGATAGGAGGGAGCGAGGCCGTGAATGGCCTTGTAGGTGAGGATGAGGATCTTGAAATCGATCCTCTGGGGGATGGGGAGCCAGTGGAGGTGAGCGAGGGTGGGAGTGATGTGGTCTCGGTGTCTGGTGCGGGACAGTACACGAGCTGCAGAGTTCTGAATGACCTGCAGCTTGTGGAGGGAGGTGCCGGGAAGGCCGGCGAGGAGAGAGTTCCCATAGTCCAGCCTTGAGGTGATAAAGGCGTGGACCAAAGTTTCAGCAGCGTGAGGGGTGAGGTAGTGCCGTAGTCTGGCGATATTCCGGAGGTGATGGAAGGCGGTGCCAGTTGTGGCGCGGATATGAGGGAGAAAGGACAGCTCAGGGTCGAACAGAACCCCGAGGTTCCTGACTGGCTTTGAGAGGTGGAGAGTGCAGCCTTGGATGCTGATGGTGTCAGCGCCTGAGGTGCGGAGGCGCTGACGTGAGCCAATCAGGAGGGCCTCAGTTTTTCGCACGTTGAGCTGAAGAAAGTTGTCTCTCGTCCAGGACTCGATGTCGGACAGGCAGCTGTCAGGACATCGGTGGTCGTGGAGTTGAGGGTAGAGGAGGAAAGGTAGAGTTGGGTGTCATCCGCATACATGTGGAAGTTAACCCATGTCTGCGGATGATGTCACCAAGGGGGAGCATATAGAGGGTGAAGAGGAGGGGACCGAGGACAGAGCCCTGAGGGACACCACATGAGACAGTGCGGGGGTGGAGGAAAAGCCATTCGTGGAAACAAAGTGAAGACGGTGGGAGAGGTACGACCTAAACCACTCAAGGACAGTGCCTTGAAGGTTGAGGTGGGAGGACAAGCGGTGGAGGAGGATAGCGTGGTCGACCGTATCGAATGCTGCCGATAGGTCGAGGAGGACGAGGAGGCAGAGGGAGCCCTGGTCACAGATGGTCAGGATATCATTGGTGACCTTGACCAGGGCAGTTTCTGTGCTATGGGCAGCACGGAAACCTGACTGAAGGGGTTCGAAAAGTGAATGGGTGGAAAGGAAAGAGCGCAGTTGGGAGGCGACAACTCTTTCCAGGACCTTGGAGAGAAAGGGGAGGTTGGAGATGGGCCGGTAGCTTGATAGCTGCGACGCATCAAGGGAGGGTTTTTTCAGGGTGGGCGTGATGGTGGCAGTTTTTAAGGGAATGGGGACAGAGCCAGAGGAGAGGGACAGGTTGATGATGTCGGTGATATGTGGGGCAAGAAAGTGGAGCTGGGAGATAAGGAGTGGAGTGGGGATGGGGTCAAGGGAGCAGGTGGTTGGTTTTAGGGATAGGATGAGTTTGGTGACAGAGGGTGGGGAAACGGGTACAAAGTGTGTAGGGGAGGATGGGTAGGAGTCGGAGTGTGGGAGTGAGGGGGTGGGGGGTTGGTGGATGTTGGAGGGGAAGTGACCGCGGAGCGAATTCCCTTGATCTTGGATTCAAGGAAATCCAGCATCTCCTCGCAGTGAAGGTTGGAGGAGATGACCTGCGCGGGGTGGCGGGGGGACGGAGGAGTCGGGTTGTGGTGGAAAACAGTAGCCTGGGGTTGTTCTTCGCCTCCAGGATTATCCTGGAGTAGAAGGACGACTTGGCCGAGGCTAGAGTGGAGCGGTAAATTTTGAGGAGGTCCAGCCAGATTTGTCGGTGGACCGTTAGGCCAGATTTGACACAGGTGCGTTCAGCAGCCCGCACCTGGCTTTTCAGTGAGCGGAGGTGGGTGGTGTACCAGGGGGAGGAGCGGGAGTAGGAGACAGTGCGGGAAGTGATGGGGGCAAGAGTATCGAGTGTGGAGGAGAGGGTATTGTGGAGGAGGGAGAGAGGAGAAGAGGGGTCGGTGAGGGTTGAAGGCCAGAGGGAGAGGAGTTCAGAGGACTCCAAGGCATCGGTTAGGGATTGTGGGGGTAACTTCTTCCAAGGGCGGTAGAAGATGGTGGTGGGTCTGGTGGAGGTGGGGAGGGGGGTGGAGGTGGTGAAGGAGATGAAGTAGTGGTCAGAGATGGCCTTGTCGGTAATAGTGACATCCGAGACACTGAGGCCCCGGGTGATCACCAAATCGAGTGGGTGGCCGTGACTGTGAGTGGGGGAGTTTATGTGGAGGGAGAGGTTGAGTGAGGAGAGCAGGGAAGAGAAGTCTGAGGAGATGGAGCAGGAGGGGGTGAAGTGCAGGTTAAAGTCGCCCAGGATGATGAGGCGATCAGAGCAGAGGCAGAGAGATGTAAGGAGTGTCGAAATATCAGAGATGAAGGGCAAGGCGGAGGTATAGAGGAAAAGTGTTCCAGAGTTTTGGGGGTAGTGGCTGAAAACGCGGCCATCGATGGTAGAATGGAGGGCACGGGGACATACAGAAGGCCCGAGCCAGTCAAGCAGAGGCATTGGCTTCTGGGTTGGGGTCGGACAGGTAGGGAAGTGCCAGGGCATGAAGGGATTTGAAAATGAGTGCGCCCCTCGCAGCCCACCCCCGCCCCGCACAGCCCACCCCCGCCCCCCCCGTCCCAATTCATACTCCTGCAGCCGGGTTTCTGGCTTCGTTTTTATTTGCAAAATATTAATAATCCATAAAAAATGTATAAAGACACGCGGACACAGAATTACATGGGGGTTTTTTTTTTAGGGGGTGACTTAAATTTCTTAGAAAATCTCTCCCGCGTGCGAGGTATTTACCTCTGGCTCTATATACAACTCGTGTTTTCAGGGCAGCTCCACAGGCCAGCTGCTTCATTTCCCTCTTCATAATAAGATCCTTGAAAGCATTACCATATCTACATGCCGCGCACACAAGAACCGCCGCAGAGGGCACTCTATACAAAATACACTTTTTAAGCGTTAAGCAAAAAAAAAAAAACCAAAAAAAAACACACACCCTGCAAAGTTATCAACATTTTCCTCTGTACAATCACAGCACATACTGCCAAACCGACACAGCACTGAGCTCCAGCACAAAGCGAGAGTGAGATAAAGGCCACATCTTTCCTTCCGTTCCCGCCACCCTTCCCGCTTGTGCCGTGCCTGTAGCTTGCCGGTTGGTCCCAATAAACAGTTCAATTGGTTTTAATAACCTACGTTAGCCAAAATATAGGCTTACTGTTTCCCGTGCCACCTTGACAGCACGCACACTTTGCCCTCAAAAGGCTGGAGTCTGAAGAGAACCACACAAAAATACCGCATCCATCGGGTTTCACACTAGTAAAAGCCCACGAGTAGCACCTGAACCCAAGTGCGTAAAGGTGGCTCGTGGCTGAGGTGAGCTATTGTCCCTGTTTGCCGGCAAACAGAAGTGCGTCAAACCTCTGCATCTCTTTTCCAAGGTCAAGCTCGCAGATCTCCCAATTTCCAACCACTGGAATTCTTCCCGAATTTGTAGACCAGACGCCTCCCATCCACTCGCTCGAGGATCTCCCGCTTGTAGTAATATCTGGGAGGGGTGGGGGGGGGGCGGTAGGAGAAGCAAACACATTAGAACAGAAAGTCAGGTCCCTGTCTCTCCCTACAGATCCAGCTGGTAAGGGCAACCTCCTCAACAATGATAATCCTTCCATCTTACACAGCCATGCTTATCATGTAACATCTTAAAGCACTTCCCAGGAACAACAACAACTTGGATTTATATAGCGCCGGAGGAATGAAGACAACGGGTACTGTTTTGAGGAGAGAGGTCAGAGAGGTCGGAGGGTGCAGAGGAGTGCAGGGACTTGAATACAAGGGTGAGGATCTTGAAGTCGATCCTCTCTGGGATAGGGAACCAGTGCAGTCTGGCAAGGATTGGGGTGATCGGGGAGCGGAGGTTCGTGTGGGTAAGAATGCAGGCGACAAAGCTCTGAATGATTTGGATTTTATGGATGGTGGTGGATGGGAGACTGACTGCAGAGTAACGACTGTGTATTTTGTATGCGAAGGCAGCAGCCAGTTTGTGCACAGTGACATGCCACAAACAACTATGAAGCATTATTTGTGGGATTGTCGGCCAGGACACCGGGAGAAAGAAACTTTTCTTTCTCTTTTTCAAATAGCGCCACAGGATATGTAACATCCACCTGAATAGACAAGTGGGAACTCAGTCTAACGTCTCAGCTGAAGGACAGCAACTCAGACAATGCAGTGTTCCCCCAGCGCTGCACTGGAGAGGAGATGAGGTTAGACTGTTCAAAATCCCCAACTTGGGGCTCAAACCCACAACCTTTTGACCCAGCAGTAGATTGTCAGGCTGTCACCTTGCTCTTACGCACAGATTTCTGGGAACCTGAAGGGACGAGATGCTGCTGATGAAATCACTAACAGTGTGGGGGGGGGGGGGGGGGAAGAGTGTTGCGGGGGGGCGAGGGCTGTGGGGGGCAAGGGCGATGTGGTCTCTCCTCCGCTCACCTCATGGCTCGGCTCAGCTTCTCATATGTCATGCTGCTGTTTTTCTTCTTCTCTCCCCAGAGCTGAGCGACGGCCTCTGATTTGAGGAATTTAAAGATGCCTTCCGACCGGTCCTCCCACTTCAAGAGGCCAGTGTTGGTCTCTGGGCGAAGCAGGATATCTCGGATAAACTCCCAGAGGTGTGTGCCCCGGGGCGCTGCCAACCACAGGAGAAAGGGCACATTTACAATCAGGGTAAAACCAACACAACATGATCTGAAGCTCCCCTAATCCCTGCCTGGGGAGACGGCAGCTCGACGGGCTTGTCCTTCCTGTATGGTGCAGAGCACAGTTTGAACGTGGGGTGTGGGGGGTGGGGGGGGGAAAGGTCTTTTTGCTATGCTGTGATGGGGCAGGGAGCGCTGTGATGAGAGTGAGCGAGCGAGGGTACGCTCTGGCGGAGCTCCGCGTCTCTGGGCACAGGCTGCCAGGGCAGTGCCAACCCCAGATTCACTTACAATGTTTGCTCTTCCTGCCCTCCAGACATGTCCTCTCCTCACAGGTCACTTTGCGGGGTCTCCCTCGGCCTCGCTTCAGCGGTTTGCAGTTGCTCAGCGAAATCTTCCGAAATTCTTCTGATTAAAAAAAAAATCACATTAGGCTTCAGACAAATTGCGTACCAGCTTAGTCAGTCTGATGGGGATTTAGCCACTTTATCCAGCGAGACAGCGAGGCACTCAGATAGGGCGGAATGCTTCTGAAACAGTGATTCAATTATTGACTAGAGCCAGGCTGCCAACCAAACAGCGATGTACTCAAAACTTCAAGGTTCAGACTGATTAGATAAGCTTATTGATACTGTAGTAACGCCCAGGGAAAAAAGTGTTTCTTTATCATTCTCTCATTATATGTGACCCATTTAAGGATGGACCTTGGGTCTTGTACGTGAGAGTAAAGTCACCAACATTTCAGCAACTTGCTATCATCATAAATTCACACGTCACATGCACAAGGCACTGGGAGGAGAGGGCACCAAGAGGCAGTTTTAGGACAGAAACCAGGAAGTATCTCCTTACACAAAGGTTGAGTGACAGCTATCAGGATCATGAACACAACCAAAATCCAACCCCCACCACTTTCCCAAATACCACAGTGTGAGCACCACAGCCCCTTACAATTACAAGGTTGATCTTCACTTGTGATAGATCGCCTCAAAATATCATAAAGTGCTCCTATAAACTATTTGTTTGCACATTCAGCAGTCAATTTGCACACAGAATTGTCCACAAACAGCCACGTAGTGTTCTTAATCTGGGGGATTAATGGTGACCAGGACACCAGGAGAAACTGTTCACAATTCCAATAGTTTCACAGGATCTTTAACATGCTCCTGAACTGGCACCTCATTTTACTGTGCCCACCAAAGCACAACACCTCAGAATATGTAGAACTTCTTCCCGCCCCCCCCCCCCCCCCCGCTTTCTCTATCCCCCCACCCCCACCCCAATACAACCAGAGATATTTACCATTTGAAGACTTGTATTGGGCATTTGTTGTTTCAGTGTCTGATTCACTTCCACCGGAGTCTGGAGAGTTAGGAGCCTGGGAGACCAAAGAACCTGAGAAACAAAGCATTTCATAGCGTCGTCACAAGAGGTTCAGGTGAAGAATGTTCGGCCCATTTAAACTTCCAGAACTCACACCTTCCTGCCCTCCCTTCACACCATGCAGCCTTTTTTTAAAAATATATAAAAAGGCAGTGTCCTGTCCTCAACACTTCCTGATAGCCTATTTCAATCCTCAATTACCTTCTGAGCAAAGAAAACCTTCCTGGTATCTGCTCTGAAATTATCCTTTGCAAAACTGAACCTATGTCCTCTTGCTCTGCTGTCTCAGTGCTTCTGAAAGTAAAACTGCAGCCTCACTGAGATGTATACAGTGTAGGGAGATGGTAGTGATTAAGTGGCCAACCTTGATCCTACCAGATCTATAGTTCCCAAGTCTATGAAGGAGAAGTTTAACTATTCGCAAATTACAGCAGCCACATAGATTAATGTCCCTCCTAGATTAGTTAGAAACATAGAAACAGGAGGAAGGCATTCAGCCTCTCGAACCTGTTCCACCATTCTATAAAATCATGGCTCATCGGCACCTCAACTCCAATTACCCACCCTTGCCCAATATCCCTCGATACCCTGACCTAACCGATATCTATCCACCTCAGCCTTAAAAATGTGAATGGATCCAACATCCACAGCCTTTGGGGGAAGAGTTCCAGATTTCCATTAGCCTTTGGATGAAAACGTGTCTCCTGATTTCACTCCTAAATGGCCTAACTCTAATTTTAAGATTATACCCCTTGTTCTGGATTCCCCCACCAGAGGAAATAGTTTCTCTGTAGCTACCTTATCAAATCCCTTTTATTTTAAAAACCTCAATCAGATCACCCCTAAACTTTCTAAACTCAAGGGAATGAAACCTGTCCTCATAATTTAACCCTTTAAGCCCTGGTATCATTCTAGCGAATCTGTGGTGCTCCTCCTCCAGGGACAATACAGTATATCCTTCCTGAGGTGCTGTGCCCTTCCCTACATTGTTCTGATCACAACGCCACTACATTCTACCTAATGTATTCTCAAGCAAGGTTCATTATGTGTTGTTGACAATCATAGTTGAATTGAGTCTATTGCTGCCCACAGTCATGTAAGGAGGCTGAGTTTGTGTCAACCCCATTATATAAGTTTGATGTGAAAGCTAAAGCGCTCAGGGACACTACCCTGCATGAAGGGCACGATATAAATGCAAGTTGTTGTTGTAGCATACCTGCATTGGAGCTGCCGATACTGTCTGGGGAGGTGGGTGCGGATTCATAGCCGGGGTCACTCAACTGGAAATCAGACAATGCCTTCCAGTCCACAGTCGGCTCCTCGTTGACCAATTCATTCCAGGCTGAGAGCAAAGCAAATCGGTCGTCAGTCAGAGTCAAGCGCTCTTTGGAGAGCTGCTGAGTGTAGTTTTAGATTTACACAAAGCTGTGAGACAGATAGTGTGTGATAACTAAGCACCTGAATACTGAATCCAAAACAATCTCAACTCGACCCTGTATTTGGGGAACACGAGACACAAAGGGCACAAATAAGACAATCCATTCCCAGGGTCGGCTTGATCACCTGAACTGAAGGTGAGTTTAGGTGTTCCTTTGCCCCATACTCACAGTCCTTCAGACCTGAAATTCCACCTAGTCTCATCCTGTGAGACCATTTTGTCTTGAAAGTTAAGATGCCGCAGAATGTTAGACAATCATTCAATCCACTCTTAATTTGAAAGTCATTTTTTTCCGCAATTTCAAAAAGTCAAATTGAAATGTTTTTTCCACAACTCAGCACAATGTTTCTTCACTTTATGCCAAGATGGTCTCTCAGGCTAAGAATAAGTGGAATTTCAGGCCTCAGTCTGGCTGTCTCCCTGAACACATTTCTCTGCCTTACAATCACTTGAACGTCATTTTAAACGTCATTCTGATCTAAATTGCTGAAATCACAGGAAAATGTTTCAATCAAAAAAAAAATCATTGTCAGCTTAAGCATTTGAACATTATTTTAAATAAATTATAGATGTGATGTGCTGCGTTAGGGCACTTCTGGTGTCTGTCTGTGGCGTCTCAGAGCAGACATTTAGTTCTGGAGTAATTTCAGTGCCTGGTAGAGATTGCTAATGTACAGAAAATGATCAATAAATAAGTGATAGACATGGCACTCAGAGGTGAAAGGTCATACACTCACTAATCACAGTATCCAGCAACTTCTCATCACTCTCTTCTCCGAGGATACCTTGCAGGAAAATGTCATTGAAGTCTTCGCCCATCGTCAAATCCAGACCTGAAACCAACAGAAGCAGCATCAGCGCAGGGCTCCCTCACCCTTCCTCAACATCAGTCAGAGGGTTCCTAGCACTCTGTAATCCTCCCCCTGAGCCCTCCCTCAGGGCAGCGGGAATAAATAGAAGTCAGTGTGTTTTGCATTTTGGGGCATTGAATATCAGGGTAAAATCTGCAGGATTTCATTCACCTGTTCCTTAACAACATTTACTATCAACTGAACCAAGTTACTGACCCCCCCACTGCCCAAACTGTAGCCCAAAGAATTTACTTTTGCACTACTCTGAATTAAGTTGAGAATGCACTAAGGAAATGCCACAAAAATAAACAAGCCTTACATTAGATATAGCGCTCTTTCACACCAAAAAGGACATCTCAAAGAATATATTGTGAAGTTCTGTGACTGTATTTTGTAGATAGTAGATAGATTCATTTTACCCCAGGGAATAAGCGAGGTCTCTGATGTTGAAGAGCACTAAGTGTGTTAGTGTAAATGCCCAGAATCTAACCTCTAACACCAGTCACCATCTGACCACCACAAGCCTTCATTTCTCCAGGTTTCTCAGAAAGCAGTGCAGTATGATCAGGAACGGCAATGTCTGATACGTACTAGAGTCTAAAGTCACCGTTAGCCCAGGCTTTGGCAACTGCTCGCAATAAGCTCACTGTCTTAACCTCCGAGACCAAACAGTTTTACAACTTAAGATGACACAGAATCAAGGAAAGCTATTAAACAGCCTTGACTTTGAAGATTGGTTTCTTTTTAAGAACAAGAGGAAGAAAACCAGCTTCTGAATTGAGACCGGATTGAAGAATTCCCTTTCTTCTACACTTGCACAGTCTTGAATCTGAAGACAAAAGCAGTCTTGCAGGCTAACGCCCATCACATTGGCTTTGATTTCAATCAATAATTTCTACAGTCAGGTCCCACTGCAGTGGCTATGGGAACACAGTGGCTATGGGAACACAGTGGCTATGGGAACACAGTGGCTATGGGAACACAGTGGCTATGGGAACACAGAGTGACAGAGAAGAAACTACGTGATCACTCGGTGGATCATGAGACAGCGAGGGCATCACTCACTGGCTCTGTTGAGGCTGTGCAAGCTGCGGTACAGCTCCTCTCCCAATGGGCCAAAGATCACCACCAGCTGGTTACCCGACAACCCCCACAGTGTGGCTCCGTCCATGTCACACAAGCTCAAGTCGATGTTATTGGCATCGTACTTGTGCTTCTCCACGTGGTAAGCCAGCCATTCCAGCACTTGCAGTCTGCTCCACAGCCGAGGGTCCAGCTGGAGCCAGGACGAGGTACCTACACAGGGCGAGGGGGAGGAGGGGCCATTAGCACTGACCTTAATACAGATAGTCCAGTCCATACAGCTTCACTTCAGCTAAACCACCTCATTTGCAAAGTTTCTAGCAAAGTCTCGTCTCAAACAAACATCCAGATGCTACCAACCCACCAACCTCAACCCGACCACAGCATCTTAAAGAAATCTTTAGAATTGTGGCTGAAATTAGTTTGAGACATCTGCACATTCAGGTTGCAATGGGAGCACTGTGTCTCACACACAAACCCACAAAATATACAGTCAATTCACTTTTGGGTGTATCCTGTGAAGCGTTTCGAGACATCTCAAAGACGTTGATAAGGCACTGTATCAAATGTAAGGATTATTATTATTCCCATCGGCAAGCACTTGCCAGGAGCCAGTCAGATTACAAAATATATTATAATAGCAACGTTATGATTGATTGATTTTGCAAGACTTTCATCTGCATCAAATAACCTCCTCCACGTTTACAACCTCACAATCTATCTCAATCATTTACAACATAAACGTACAGGAAGGTTCAGCACTAAAGTGAGTCAACTAAAGACAAAAGCTCCTCAGAGGATTTCTCTCTGGAGGGTGGTTTCCAAATCACTCCCATTTTCTTTAACTTCACGCCTGTACTTAGTCTCATTGTTTTTAAACTTTTTACCACTCCTAACCTTACTCCATCTACACTCCTGCCGGTCCACGTCTCTCTTGCAACTGACATGTATGTTACATACACATATATCTGACTCTCTTTCTCTCTCTCTCTCTCTCTCTTATTCAAAGTGTGGTGTGTGACTCGGTCTCTCTCCTCTCCCTGCCAAATGCTCCGATTTGTGCTGTTATCACTCTGTGTAGCTCTTGCCCAATGTCTTGGCTGACAGTCCCTTAGAGAAAATTGTTCACTCCACTTTTCACTAAATCCTGCAAAGCACTTTGCTTCATGCTCCTGACACGAAAAGCGCTACGCTAAATTGAAGGATATCTGTGAATTTCTTACCCAGTGTGTGTGTGTGAATCTCTTACCCAGTGCGTGTGTGTGAATCTCTTACCCAGTGTGTGTGTGTGAATCTCTTACCCAGTGTGTGTGTGCGCATTTCTTACCCAGTGTGTGAGTGAATCTCTTACCCAGTGCGTGAGTGAATCTCTTACCCAGTGTGTGTGTGTGAATCTCTTACCCAGTGTGTGTGAGTGAATCTCTTACCCAGTGTGTGTGTGAATCTCTTACCCAGTGTGTGTGTGAATCTCTTACCCAGTGCGTGTGTGTGAATCTCTTACCCAGTGCGTGTGTGTGAATCTCTTACCCAGTGCGTGTGTGTGAATCTCTTACCCAGTGCGTGTGTGTGAATCTCTTACCCAGTGCGTGTGTGTGAATCTCTTACCCAGTGCGTGTGTGTGAATCTCTTACCCAGTGTGTGAGTGAATCTCTTACCCAGTGTGTGTGTGTGAATCTCTTACCCAGTGTGTGAGTGAATCTCTTACCCAGTGTGTGTGTGTGAATCCCTTACCCAGTGCGTGTGTGTGAATCTCTTACCCAGTGCGTGTGTGTGAATCTCTTACCCAGTGTGTGTGTGTGAATCTCTTACCCAGTGTGTGTGAGTGAATCTCTTACCCAGTGTGTGTGTGTGAATCTCTTACCCAGTGTGTGTGTGAATCTCTTACCCAGTGTGTGTGTGAATCTCTTACCCAGTGCGTGTGTGTGAATCTCTTACCCAGTGCGTGTGTGTGAATCTCTTACCCAGTGCGTGTGTGTGAATCTCTTACCCAGTGCGTGTGTGTGAATCTCTTACCCAGTGTGTGTGTGTGAATCTCTTACCCAGTGTGTGAGTGAATCTCTTACCCAGTGTGTGAGTGAATCTCTTACCCAGTGTGTGAGTGAATCTCTTACCCAGTGCGTGTGTGTGAATCTCTTACCCAGTGCGTGTGAGTGAATCTCTTACCCAGTGCGTGTGTGTGAATCCCTTACCCAGTGTGTGTGAGTGAATCTCTTACCCAGTGCGTGTGTGTGAATCTCTTACCCAGTGCGTGTGTGTGAATCTCTTACCCAGTAAGTCTGTAGAAAGCAGGGTTGAGTTGCTGCAGTGTTCTCGGCTGTTGGGGCACCCAGCCTGGTTCTCCTCAGTCTGATAGACCGAGCGCATCACGTCGGTCAGGATGCTGCCGATCCCGTACACGGAAGCCATCGAGCTGCCGAGGACACAGAGGGTCTGACGTTTGGTAAAACAAACACACGGAATCGTTTATCCCCACCCCCCCCCCCGCAAAAATGATCAGTTTCACGAAAAAAAAATGCGCTTTACAGATTGCAACCGGAAATTAAACCCGGTTCGTTTAAAAACAGTCACTGTTACTTTGCTTTTTTTTTAAAAAAAAATCAATACTCCCGATACAACTACAACCAAAGTCTACGTACCGTCTTTAAGGGGTGTTGTTTCGCTCTGAAGTGGATGTGATGTGATCCTGGTGTAGTGACAGCAAAACACACACACGGACACACACACACACACGGACACACTCGGTGTTGGTAATCTCCGAAGTCCAGGTAGAACCTCACAGCCACACACCCGCTCTGGGCTCACACACTGACCGGTGTCTGTCTGTCTGTCTGTGGCTCTCTGTCTCTACCCCTCTGTCTGTGGCTCTCTGTCTCTACCCCTCTGTCTGTGCTGAGGATGACAGTGTGAGGTTGGGTTGGGCTGTGGGTATATATAGCCGAGTGATCACGAGGTGAAGTTGAAGTGGAGACGCCACCTGGAGGGGAATTCCCAGTGACAGCACCGGCACTGCATTTACATAGAGGGAAGTCTCCCTGAGGCCACACACACCGCCACTAACACTGCCCCACACCCCCCCCCACACCCCCCCCACACACACCCCCACACACACCCCCACACACCCCCACACACACCCCCCACACCCCCACACACACACCCCCACACACACCGCCACACACACACACACACCCACACACACCGCCCACACACACCCCCACACACACCGCCACACACACCCCCACACACACCGCCACACACACACACACCCACACACACCGCCACACACACCCCCACACACACCGCCACACACTGCCCCACACCCCCCCCACCCCCCACCCCACACACACACCACACACACCGCCACACACACACACACCCACACACCCACCCCCACACACACACACCCACACCCCCCCACACACACACACACCCACACACACACCCCCACACACACCCCCACACACCGCCACTAACACTGCCCCCCCCACACACCCCCACACACACCGCCACTAACACTGCCCCCCCACACCGCCACACACACCCCCACACACACCGCCACTAACACTGCCCCACACTCCCCCCCCCACACACACCCACACACCGCCACTAACACTGCCCCCCACACACCCACACACACACCCCCACACACCGCCACTAACACTGCCCCCCCCACACACACACCCACACACCGCCACTAACACTGCCCCCCCACACACACACCCACACACACCCCACACACCCCCCCCACACACACACACACCCCCACACACACACACACCCCCACACACACACACAACCCCACACACACACTGCCACTAACACTGCCCCCCCCCAACAACAACAACAACAACAAGATTCCATTTATTGAGCGCCTTTCACGTCGGGAGGATGTCCCAAAGCGCTGTACAGTTGGGTCAGGACCCGAGCATTGGGGGGAAATGGTCAGGGGAGGGGAGGGAAGGGAGGGAGCGAGGAGGGGGGAGATGGTCAGGGTGAGGGGAGGGAAGGGAGGGGGCGAGGAGGGGGGAGATGGTCGAGAGGGGAGGTGAATAGAAAGGTCTTGAGACCGGCCGTGAAGGAGGAAAGGGAAGAGGCACTGGGGGATAGAGTTCCAGAGACACACCTACACCCACCCCCCCCACACACACACACCTACACCCACCCCCCCCCACACACACACACCTACACCCACCCCCCCCACACACACACACCTACACCCACCCCCCCCCACACACACACACCTACACCCACCCCCCCCCCACACACACACCTACACCCACCCCCCCCACACACACACCTACACCCACCCCCCCCCACCCACACCACACCACACACACCTACACCCACCCCCCCCCACACACACCTACACCCACCCACCCCCACACACACACCTACACCCACCCCCCCACACACACACACCTACACCCACCCACCCCCACACACACACCTACACCCACCCCCCCCCACACACACACCTACACCCACCCCCCCCACACACACACACCTACACCCACCCCCCCCACACACACACACCTACACCCACCCACCCCCACACACACACCTACACCCACCCCCCCACACACACACACCTACACCCACCCCCCCCCACACACACACCTACACCCACCCCCCCACACACACACCTACACCCACCCCCCCCCACACACCTGCACCCACCCACCCCCCACACACACACCTACACCCACCCCCCCCCACACACACACACCTACACCCTCCCCTACACACACACACCCACACACACACACCTACACCCCCCCCCCACACACACACACGCCTACACACCACCCCCCCTCACACACACACACACACCTACATACCCACACACACACATCTACACCCCCCCCCTACACACACACCTCACCCCCCTCCCACCCACACCCCCCCCCCCCCACACACACACCTACACCCACCCCCCCCACACACACACCTACACCCACCCCCCCCACACACACACCTACACCCACCCCCCACACACACACCTACACCCACCCCCCCCACACACACACCTACACCCCCCCCCCCACACACACACACCTACACCCCCCCCTCACACACACACACACACCCACATACCCACACACACACATCTACACCCCCCCCCTACACACACACCTTCACCCCCCCTCCCCTACCCTACACCCCACCCCCCCCCCCCCCCCCCCACACACACACACACACAAACACAACGTACATCTGTTTGGTAACGTGTTCAATGTTATGGAGTCCGTTTCAGTGGGGAATCCACAATGGGAATAGATAAAGAAATGTTTAAACTCTCTTTCAAATGGAACTGCTGCTGTTTGCAGTGCCCCCCCACCCGTGAGGAGGGGGTGGGGTGGGGTATGTAATTTATGAGATGGGGGGCACTGGGAGTTAGGGCTGGGGGTTTGAGTGGAGTTGGAGTTGAGCGGAGTCCTGTAACTCAGTGGTTAGAGCACTCGAGGCACTTGGGCTCAGTTCCAGGCAGAGGGCGAAACCTTGGGCGAGTTTCCTTACTCCACACAGAGCCTAATAATAATCCTCCAAAACCAAAAACAATAATAAATTGGTCATTTTCAATCCATGACTGTTTGTGGGACATTGCTGTGCGCAATTGGCTGCCGCGTTCCGCCCACAAATACACAGTCAATTCACTTTACAGTATATTCTGTGAAGCGCTTTGAGACGTCGAGAAGACGGGAAAAGCGCTATATCAAATGCGAGGATTATTATTATTATTATTGAGTGACTCAGGGTGACCTGCCCACTCCCCACTGTGACTGTGGTTTGTCACTGCTGTCGCTTAGCACCTGGTTGTCACACACCTGTACCAGCACACACCTGTACCAGGTAACAGCACACACCTGTATTAGGTAACAGCACACACCTGTACCAGGTAACAGCACACACCTGTACTAGGTAACAGCACACACCCGTACCAGGTAACAGCACACACCTGTACCAGGTAACAGCACACACCTGTACCAGGTAACAGCACACACCTGTAATAGGTAACAGCACACACCTGTACCAGCACACACCTGTACCAGGTAGCAGCACACACCTGTACCAGGTAACAGCACACACCTGTAATAGATACTGGCACACACTTGTACCAGCACACACCTGTACCAGGTAACAGCGCACACCTGTACCAGGTAACAGCACACACCTGTAATAGGTACTGGCACACACTTGTACCAGCACACACCTGTACCAGGTAACAGCACACACCTGTAATAGGTACCAGCACACACCTGTACCAGGTAACAGCACACACCTGTAATAGGTACCAGCACACACCTGTACCAGGTAGCAGCACACACCTGTACCAGGTAACAGATGGTGGCTCTCTGCTGCCCCCTGCAGGATGAGCAGTGCAAATCCTCACAGATTATTATATGAACCTTTGCCACATTCAAACATCTCAAAGCACTCACTGCTAATTGCTGTGATAATAATAATAATAATAATAATCCTTGCATTTGATACAGCGCCTTATCATGTCTTCTGGACGGCTTAAAGCGCTTCACAGAATACACTGTAAAGTGAATTAACTGTATATTTTGTGGGTGAAACGCGGCAGCAAATTGTGCACAGCAGCGTCCCAAAAACAGTCGTGGATTGAAGTGACCAACTTATTATTTTTTTGAAGGAATTATTAACCCCAGAAAAGCGATCCACCAATCGACTAACAACCGGCTTCCTACTTACTGCTATGTAAACAGAGGCGTGTGGAGTACGGAAACTTGCCCAACGTTTCGCCCTGCCGGGAATCGAACCCAGGTCTCTCACTTGCGAGGCGAGTGCTCTAACCACTGAGCTACAGGACTGTGTATTTGGAGGCAAATGCAGCAGCTAATCCAGCAACGCGCTGGGACATGCTGCATGATTGGAGACCCCATCCTTTGGGGAGCCTGTCCAGAAGGCTAAAGGTCCACGTCAAAACATTTTTTGAAACACTCTATTCCAAGCCAACATTCAGAGTCAGCACATGTTGGACATTTAGTGTACCTGCTTTGAAGCCTAAAATATAGTAGCTATTCATGATGATAATAGTCCTTACAATTGATACTCAGGGGGACGCTTCACAGCATTTCGTTGGCTTGACTCCCTTCTTTTTGAATAAATAGTGCCAGGGGATCTTTAACGACCACCTGAAAAGGCAGTCGGGGCCTCAGTTTAACTGACGTCGCATCTGAAGGACCTCTGACGATGAAGAATACCCCACGACAACACCAACAACAACAAAATTATATTTATAGAGCCCCAAGACTGGAGCGTCAGCTTAGACTGTGAGTTCAAAGTTCCAAAATGAGGCTTGAACCCTCAACCTTCTGACTCAGAGATGAGTGGTGCTGCTCCGAGTCAGGCTGACAGTTTTACTTGTACTAAAAACAGAGACATGTGCACGGCTGGAAACAGTGATTTTGTGCAATCTTATTGTCCTTGGAGGCTGGGCGGAATATTTCAACCATAACAGGATTATTGTTAATTTTAGAATCACCCACAGTCTCTGACGCTTGTTTTGATTGTGGAAACATCGGTGAGCCTGGAGCTCTCTGGTTGGTCTCACAATTCCCAAATATTAATCACTCTTACATCTGACACCGCACCTCTTAAGTGCTTCACAAGATTTACCATGAAGAGAATGTGAATGTAGGCGAACGGGGCAGCCAACTTGCACACAGCAACGTCCCACACACAGCCCGTAGTGAACGAGCTATTTTTTCCTGGGGGATTGTTGGTCAGGACGTCGGGAGAAACTCTTCTCTTTTTGAATAGCGCCGTGGGATCTTTACTGTCCAGCTGAAGAAGCAGATGGGACCTTAGATTAACATCTCATCCAAAGGACGGTACTTCCGACAATGCAGCAATCCCCCAGCACTGTGTCTAACTGACG